GCCAAGATAGAATTGTAAATTAAACGAGACTTACCTGTAAGTTGAAATTTGATTGTAATTCTGTCTTGTTATCAGGCAGGAACGAAGAAGTCACATGCCCATATTTTCTCTCCCTTCCCAGTTGAACTCCCTCGTTCTATGAATTCCTGCATGTACTTGCTTTGAAAAACTGATTGGCGATGCACGCATGCGCATCTCATGTGACTCCTTCGTTCCTGGCTGATGACAAGACAGAATTACAATCAAACTTCAACTTACAGGCAAGTCTCGTTTAATTTTCAATTTTGCACTAATGCTGCCGATATTTCATATTTCTGGACGAATTTATGCTGAGAGAACATTAACAGGTAATTAAAATCCATGTTATGTCTACAACAAAAGTGTTTTAGTCGTTAGTCTACCATATGGTGCTACGGTTAGGTATTAGCGCGAAGTCAAAAACTTCAAACTGAGTTCAAAGCAATAATCTGCCATCCTTTTCGCTATTTCGCGCTCACAGTGTAGCTTGCTCATGGGCAAAATGCGAATGTGGACAAAAATATTTAAGTTCCTGACAATATGTTCATTTTGGCCGATGTGGCATTTGCTTGTTGTGTAATTATCCCTGCATGGTCATTCAAGATTGACAGGCCAACTGATCTCTGCGACATTCATCGTTGAATGGCCCGATTTATACTAGAAACTAGAGTCTAGAGACTGTTCATCCGTCTGGACAAACTTGGGCAAGCGAGATGCGCAAACACGGGCAAACATGCAGACGGATCATCCGTCAACACAAATTATCTGCACACACTTAAGAAGTTTAATTATCATATTCGTTTTGTAAACTTTTGCCTTTGGTCATGTAATTTTGTGCTGTGACATATTGTGTATACGGTTATAAATATTATCATGCATTTAACAGGGTGACAATGATTGTTTAACTGTAAATGGTAGTTCAACTTGACGCATCTCTCGTCAGTTTAAATACAACGGTTCATAAAAAGGCTTTTGTGCACTACGTAAATCATTTCGCAATTCTCGTGCACGTTCCGTAAACGCACGAACGATTTTGCTTCGTCTGACATATTCGTCTACATACAGGGTGTCTCAAAAAAACCGGAACCACTTAAATATGCAAGAACATTAATACAGCATGATGGATAAGCACCTCTGGGAATTGAAAATGGCTCTTAGGGGCTGTTTACATGAGCCCTGTTACCGGAGATTCAGCGAAGCGTGAGATGATTTTGAGGTATTGAAACGAGCAGATAACATGATCCTGGCAGTCGTATAATCACCACAACAATAGGATGTGCTTGTTTGGTATCATAAAGACTTATTTCAGTACCTCAAAGTCCTCTCATGCTTCGTTGAATCTCGGGTGACCGGGCTCATGTAAACAGCCCCTAAAAGTTAAAAATGCTAAAAGTCATTACACTTTATTTTATTAACAAATTATACTTAAATAAATCTCAATTTGCCGTTAGCTTACACAAACGTTAAATTTATTTAGGCAACTGTTCCATGAGAACACGATTAGAAGCATTTTCAATTCCCAGAGGTGCTTATTATTGCCTTTTATAATATAACATTTATAGTACGCGCGTGCTGATTGGTCAAGAAGCGTGTTTCTATAACTGTATAGAAACACGGGAATTTTCCCGCCGAACTTGTCAAGCGAAGTAATGTAATGAGAACTTGTAATTGAATCGAATTATAATATTTGTACAAAATCTTTTTATTGAGTTATATTATAAAAGAAATAGAAAACATTTTTTCCTGTGTTTCTATACAGTTATAGAAACACTTGTGGGAGTTTGGGAGAACTCGAAATAACGTGGAAAAACTCGCCCTACGGGCTCGTTTTCCCACTGATTATTTCTCGTTCTCCCAAACTCCCACGCGTGTTTCTATAACTGTATAGAAACACGGAAAATGTTTTCTATTTCTTAATTAGAACAATATTAATATTTTTGCATATTTTTGCGTTTTTTTTGAGACACCCTGTAGTTCGTCGATCTAGATAGTGTGTCGTATTTACTCAGAAGAATGATCCATCCGTCTGTGGTCTGCCGACGGACTATTCGTCCGGACGAAACATCCGTCTATAAAAGTCTTATATAAATCGTGCCAATGTCAATATAAGAACACTGAAAGAAAAGTGCATGTGCATGTGTTTCTAGTAAGCTCTAATGCGTGCACAATTAAGAAATTAGCACAAAATTACATAAATTATGTACGCAATAACTACGACGTGATATTCGTAAGATCTAATAATTTGAAGGATCACGAAGTTTAAATGTCACCCAAGCAAATTTGCCCAAAATATCTTAAGCTTCGGCATAAATTTTCCAATTTGTGCAATAACAATTGAATTCATACATACGTTGAAAAATTGCACTTTGCACTTTTATTTCTGAAGTACGTCTCTTTATCTAATTTTCATTCCACGAATACTCGCTGCTTTGTTTAGCGTGTCAAATATATTGTTATGATAACTAGGTTATATCATTTATACCACTCATTGGTAGAAATGCTGCCTGAAAGCGTGATGTCAGGTTCCTAGTGAGTGAATGTTTAAATATTTCATTCCAGTGTTTTCTATTTTGGCCGCTATTTATTCTGTGCTAAGCGACTTTGGATTTTAGATATTGTTGATTATATACTTTCTAATAGGCAGTAATAACCAATAGTGCGGGGGATCTACATATTGAAGATTTTACAGTGCGATTAAGATCTGGAACTGCATGTTTTTAAGACATTTTCATCCTGCCTCCTTATCATAAGAAATAAACGCACAAAGTTCCGTTGACAACATTTGGGTAACCAGCATCATAATAGAATATGCAATGAATAAATTTTAATATTGGTTTAACACCTTGTACTTCGGCCACTACATAATATACACTTAATGAATGCTCCCGAGGGAAATAGTGAGTTTTGTTTTCCCAAGAGTCTAAATGTTTCCCAGCGAAAACAAAACTCACTATTTCCCGAGGTAGTGTACATTAAGTGTTTTCTTATATAAAACAAAAATGGTGGATAAGTTCAAAATGGAAAACAAAATATCTATTTATTGAACAATTAACTGAGCTGAAATATTTCGACGTAAATAGTTTAATTGTCAAGGGAAGAACATATTTAATGCATAAGGTGCAGGTTCATGCATCCACAAGATCTATGAGAGAATTTTTAAACTTTGGCTTATCTACCGTTAAGCTAAACGCCTTTCGAACAACCGGCCCCTGATAGGTTTTCTGTGGTGCAGTCATGCATCGTCTTAATTAATATTCCTAATTTGCATTTTAATAATGTTATATGTTAAAGATGGATGAAACAGAAGCACCCACAACTACATACAAAGGAATTATAATTTGCGTTTGTTCCTTTTTAATTTCTTCATTTTCACTGGGAACAACATCAAATTATGCCATAATGCTGCCGACATTCTTGGACGAATTTAATGCTGGAAGAACATTAACAGGTAATTAAAATTTTAAATGCAATCCTACGTTTAAGATTTATTTTAATTTAGTACAGAGTATTCAAAATGTAAGTGTAAGAAACGAATAAACATAGAAATTTCGTAGTCACCAAATTTACATCTCTCAAAAGTAGTATTGCATTGCAAGTTGCAAGAAAAATTGCATGGTGTAACAGGGCTTTAACAAACAGTTCTGAGTGTACCATATTGTCAAACGGCTCCCAGGTCCAGGTTTACAAGTCAAAAGATCAAAGCGATAATCTATCATCCCTCTCCCCGTTTCGAGCTCACAGTTCATGGCTCATGAGCGAATGTGGACCAAAGTATTCAAGTTACCGACAATATAAAATATTTTCTCTTGCTTGTTGCGTATGTTTTGTCTCTGCATTCATTTGGGGCAGACATTGCAACTGATTTCTGTGACATTCATCAGTGAATGTCAATATAAAGCTGCCCGCAGACAAAAGCTATCTGCTGAGTTAAAGTCACTTGTAAACGATAGAGTAAGCAAATGAGCTGCTTCCCCCATGCAGTGTGCGGCGAGCTTTTATTCACTTGTGCAATTTGGCACGAACGAACAAATTAGAGCTTGCCATGGTTTCAACAACTTCGTACAAATCTGCAAGTCAAAAAGTTGTAACAAGCTTGTTGGCCACAAGCTTGCCACAACTTTACAACATCCCAACAAGCTTGCTACAAGCTTGCTGAGTCAGCAAGATGTGAAAATTCTTGTTGCCTGGTGACAGAGATGAAGCCAAGCTTGGATCTTCAATGCAGCAATCAATGGACTCAGATTGCAAATTAAAAGATTGCTATTGTTAATTATAGAAAAATATGTTAATTAAAAGATTGCTATTGGTTTATCTGTGCAAAATAATATATAGATGTGATGAGAAAGGAACAATTTTGTGGATAAATCAACCTCAACATTGTCAATGAGTTGTATTGTAGTTTTATGTGGTCTCCAAACCATATATATTCTATTAGCTGTGGTTAAATAAATAGCTTTTGGGACACCGTCCATGCATGTAGTTGGCCCCTTAAACTAAACTGTGTTTATGAAATTAACGCTTGAAAACGATGGATGAGTTAGAAATAAAAATTGCCCCCCCCCCGCCACTTTAAAATACACTTGTTAAAAGATATCTCGGATCAAACAAAATACTGATTTTCTTTATAATACGAGCCCAGGCTAGAGTATATTAAAAATACAACCCACTTAATATTTATAAATATTCGCCCCTTTTCAATAACAAAAGTTTGCAGGCGTCTGAGAATTATTATAAGGCTGCATTTTTATATACAAGCACCATGTAGATTGTGCACTTTTTTGACTAATATTTAACGAAGCCTGATGGGTAATTGCAAACCACCTTTATAGCTATATACGCCGCTGAACGAGCGTTGATCAATTCATATTCATATTCATGCATATTCATGATTGCTAATAAGAAGTTTTTTTAAAAATGCACATCTTTATTAAAAAGACCTTATATTTGTTTTTCTAGCACTAATTGGATCAAGTCAGTATGCAATGATCTTTATGTTTAGCCCATTAGCGGGATCTCTAATCGACTTATTTGGAATGCGTAAAGTTTCATTTGCAGGAGGATTTCTTTATTCTGTTGGATTAATCTCAGCTTCTTACGTTAATTCAATATATGGTTTATTCCCGACATTTTCTGTGATGGTATCTTTGGGAATTGCTTTACTTTATTCCTCGACTCAGATAGCGCCTGTTAAGTGCATTTCATCAAAATACCAAGGAATTGCATGCTCTTTTGTTTCTGGTGGCTGGTACACAGGATGGCTAAGCCTTTCCTTGTTGATCACATTTTTATTAGAGCAATTTCACTGGAAGGTTATGTTTCGTATACTCTCATCTCTTGGAGTCGTTATTTGTTTGCTAAGTTTAACCTATGGTTGGATCAAACAGAATGGAGATATCCCCAACAGAAATCGAACACCGTTTTGCAACTGGTCCTTATGTAAACGTCCACGATATTTTGTTTTGGTTTTTGGTTCAGCAGTATCAATGTTGGGATTTCCTGTTGCACAATTCTTTTTGGTATGTACATCAACTCACTACACAATACAGTAGAAATTGTGAGGTGACTATTTTGAGCAATTCTATTTTCTCCCAATGTAAAGTTATACAATCTCATAATTTGTCATTAGAATGACGCCATCTTTCAATGATTTTACAAAGTTTAACTTTTTTGTTTTGTGCAAGAAGAAAAGGGTTCATTTTGCTTTGTAAATGCTTAATATGTGACTTTTGTGAGAGTTTTGAAATTGAACTTACATCACAGCAGATGGAAACGAACTGCAGTATATATTTGAGTTTAAAATAGGGCATGTATTCAACCCCGAACCCACGTGGACTTTCTGTGTATACATTTCTTTCTGCGCGGTGACCCTGTACCGGCTGTACATGGTTTTACCCGAAGGCAAGGATTGAAATAAACTATAAGAGAGGAAATGAGCATTATACAGTGCATGCAGTGTCGGGCTTTTGTACGAGCATATATCATTTTAAGATTAAATCATAAGCTGTTCACTTTTCGTTCAAACATTGGCCAATAGAAAAAAGTTTCCATTTATCTGGCTTCTCGCACAGCTTTCAGGGGCGACTTTCTAGAACGGACATTATCTAGAAATAGAATGGACTAGAATGGACTATTATCTAGAAACTAATTAAGTACGTTTTTGTGGTATCACGTGATATTCTACCATTCAATTAAGGTAACAAAAACTTAACTCTGTCGTTCTCTTTTAGGCAGATCGTGCTAAAGCGTACGGCATTCACGAGAACCAATCAAAATGGTTTTACGTTGTGTTTGGAATTTTTGGCATTACATTCGGACTTATAGCTGGAAAGATTGGGGATATGATAATAAGATATCACGTTATTTTGAATATATCAAGTCTCCTTTTTCATGGTATAAATACACTTTTCAGTTACCTATGTACAACTTACATAACGTTATTAATATACTCGGCCATCTCTGGGATATTTTTTGGTATTTACAATTCTACACTTTGTCTCTCTATATTGAATTGTGTTGGAGCGGCAAATATAGCACAAGGCTTTGGGTTTCTTGTTTTCGTTCAAGGATTTTCTTTATTTCTTGGACCACCCCTTGCAGGTGAGTATATTTTAAATGGAACCTTGACTGAACATAAAAAATGGCAAAAATCATTCGGTATAAGCGCATTGAAAAAGAACTATGTCCACTACATGTCATCATGGAGGATAGAGTACTGTCCAGAAATAACCTAACAAAAACCACGGTTGAATCGCGGTTGAATCAGGGTGAGATCGCTGTCGAACCGAGGTAACACGGAGGTTAAACCTCGGACCACTGGAAAGGTACTTTTTTCCATGCGGGCATTTGCGATTTCTATCGGTCGACCGCGTCCGAACCGGAACCTAACCGAGCCGCAACCGCAGTGTTAGGTTATTTCTGTATTCTATAGTACTGTATTCTATATTCAGTTATTATCCTTTCTGTTTCTAGGTTTTCTGAGAGACGCAACTGGTACATTCAAACTTCCTTTAATTATTGCTGGATGTTTGGAAATCGTCGGAGCGTTAATATCGTTTCCAGTTGCCAGAGTAAAAATTGGTCATGAACCAGGCCAGGACAACCATGAGAATAGTGAAAACAACAACAATATTTAGCAAGAGACGAAGTCGAAGTCATTAATTTTAATTAGCTATTAACGTGTTACTAATGGAATTTTAGTATAACTAGCGCTCAGTGGGCTTCCCTCAGCGGCGAGTAAAAACAACATAAGAGCCCTGGGTACGAGGTTGTTCATCGGTTTTAAGAAATTTTGAAATTATGAATTTAGGAAAATTTTGCCTACCCCTCTCCCCTCTTTAGATTGCATTTAGGAGCTCTTAATTGATATTACATAAAGTATACGCTCTAGAAGTTTAAGAGAATTTTGCACTGAATTTTGGCTGTTATATACACCACTGAGCTATATAATAACTCCTGGAGAACTTGCTCTTGATTAGAAAGTAAAGCAAAAAACATGGCGGGTTTTGAGCATTGTGACGTCACCTAGTCCCCATTTGCTCATCGTAATTACCGCTGACATAGCGCGATACAAAGTCAAAAATGTGTCCGTCACCCTCCCGATTTTCGACTGATATCAGTTTTTGAATATTTTTTTCGGAAAATTTTCTCCGAGAATTTTCTCCCTCGAAAAAAAAAATTATAACTATCATGTTGACATGTTACCATCCAAATGCTTATTATTAACTAAATTTTAACAATGGATCAACATCTATTGCCAGAGGTGCACGTCCAAGAAACAAGAGGGAATATCGTTTTAGACCAATGAGCGAGTTTGTTTACATTTTCAGTAAGCCAAGCAGAATGCATAAATTTTAATAAAAAGTACAATATATACCATTTTACATGAAGTGTTAAAAATTTAGGCATTTTGATTGGCTTTGCTGAAAAATGTAAACAAATATGGCGATTAGTTTAAAACGAAATTCTCCCTTGTTAGTCCAAGAAGGTTGCAAAATACATTACACTCATGAGCTGAGAAGAAAAAAACCCGGCCGTCCGGCCGTAATACAAATATGGTAACTTCACTTGGCTATAATTATTTTCGGTACTTTACAATATTTTGCAGCAAAACCTGGCAATTTGACTTAGTTTAGTATTCACTTTTCGGATATTCCCTTTTTGTTACTAATTCCTAAATCAAAAGTTGGTCGAAAATTGAAATAAATAACGCGTTAAAACTCGAGTGAGCCAGAGACCAACCAACCAGAGTTTATGGCCAGACAGAACCAGATTTAAAGGCCCATACCATTGTTGCGGATTTTGAATATTTAACTGAAAAGTTTATGATGTTAAAGATGAGTGACAGAGAAGCACCCACAACTAGATACAAAGATTGAAGGGAATTATATTTTGCGTCCAGGGCGGTTGCAGTATCACTAGAAGTTTGATTGGGAGGGTGCATATTCATATATCCGTTTAATGCCCGACTGATTTCTTTCCTTCGACAGGGTGTCTTCAAAAAAACAAAAACTTTTGAAATCAGCCATAACAATGTAATTGTTAGAGTTTGAATGCCTAAGCACTCTATTGGGATAATATCACAATAAACACTCGTTGTTCCGCGGTCAGCTGTACCATTTTCTTTCATCATATTCACAATTTCAAATTTTTCGTATTTTTTCGTATTTATAAGTTGCATTAAATCCCCACGGGCTAAAATTCGTGAACTTCGCATTCAAATTTTAACAATGAGTGATTTCAATAGTGTTCGTTTTTTCTGAGACACCCTGTATATTGTATGAGATGCGCATGCGTGCATCGCCAATCAGTGCTAACCTCTTTGCCAAAAAGTACACAAGGTAAAATGAATTTTCTATTTTAGATCCACCGTAATCCTCCATATATTTTCACATTTCAGTTCTATCCTTTTCAGGAATGCTAAGTTTTTTAAGTTAATGTAGTTTGCTGGTTTTGGGTAAGTTTCAACGAATGAAATTATGGAAATTTCAACAATAATAATAATTACTAATTCCTAAATCAAAAGTTGGTCGAAAATTGAAATGAATAACGCGTTAAAACTCGAGTGAGCCGAAGACCAACCAACCAGTGTCCTCTATTCCGGACCCTAAATAACTTTAACTGTCTATAATAAGAATTTCCCACAGGAACAATATAATTTATATAGAATTCTATCTTGTATCAGCTTACGTCACTATGGAGTCACATGGGATGCGCATGCGCATCGCCAATCAGTGCTAGCGTCTTTGCCAAGAAGTACACAAGGTAAAATGAATTTTTTATTTTATATCCCCCGTAATACTCCGTATATTTTCACATTTCACTTCTATCCTTTTCAGGAATGGTAAGTTTTTTAATTTCCTAATATAGTTTGTTGGTTTTAGACAAGTTTCAACGAATGAAATTATGGAAATTTCAACAATAAATGAAGGCGTTGACGAACATGCCGTCGGGTCATCGACCCGTTAAACTGACAATGCGGGTATTAAAACTGATTTACTCTGGAATATCCAAGAAAATACGGGACGAGTAGCAAGTCTACTTTCCACCTTGTGTAAAAATATGCTCCGCGCATCTTAAACGACGAGCGCCCACTATAGGCAAGAGCTCATCTCAAACGGGAAGCACGCAAGACCATGTTTTCAAACAGGACGACGTTGACGAGTTTGCAAGTCAATTTGATGCTGACGATAGACCACCCCAAACGGCGTCGTCAAATGGATGAGCCCAGTCTTCACCGAAGTGAGGATGAGAAAGATCTAGAACTACTTACTGGCACGGCCACAGTAGAAAAAAGCCCACCGGATGAAATTGAATACGAATTCCTCACTGAGCTAACTGATATGCTTGAAAAGAATGGGACTGGCTACTGGACCACTGGTCACAAAACAGTTAGCAGACATGACTGATAAACGATGGGGAAAACATTTGCCTCCTGAGAAAATAAAACTGCTCACAGAGCGTTATGAGACACCAGAGAATTGTTCAGAACTACTCCCAGTTCGTGTAAATCCGAAATTTGGGACCAATTGAATTCTTCTCGAAGAAAAACTGATTTACAGTTGTCAAATATTCAACAATCAGCTCGGAAAGTGGTTGTGGTGATATTGCAAATTGTGAATGATTTGTTGCCCCAAACAAAAGACGAGGCCAGTAAGAAACCGGCATCTCGTTTTGTTGATTCCATTGCATTGCTGGGTCATATGAGTCATCTATCACGTCTCAGACGGGAACAAATCAGACCTGTTTTAAAGAGAGAGTTTGCTAAAATTTGTACCAAAAAATATCAAATGGCCTCCTTCTATTTGGCTCAGATCTTCCAAAACAGTGAAGGAGGCCAAGGAGACTGATACCATATTGGTAATTCCATTGCAATTCGAACCAGAAAGCGTTTTGCTAACTATAGAACAAAACCATATGAGTATAAAAAGACAACTCGCCAAATCAGAACACCTGTAATTACAGGGGGAAACCTCTTTTGTCCAAGGGCTACCCCAACAACAAAAAGAAAAGACCGCCACCGGCATCCGGAATGAGATCATAAGAGGTCTTCAAGAATTTAAGTAAAAAATAATGTACGTTCATTTTCTTTGTTTATTAATATATTGCGGGCGTGGTGAGAGCTATTTGTAGGTGGGCAAGCTGCAAGCATCACATTATTGGTCTGAATAGGTCAAACTAACTAATGACAAACACATGATAGCTGATATTAAAGGGATTGGGATTGAATGCTCATAAAGGGATAACATCCTCAATGAATTGTCAGGCCAAGAAATAATTTCTTTACTAAATAAAACCTTAATTGAGCCTGCTGAGCCAAAGTTAGGTCAGATTATATCTGGAGTATTTTTACATTCCAAAAAGGATGGCTCCAATCAACCTATTTTCAACTTTTTGTTCAAATTGTTTAAAAGCAATTTAATAAGGTGGTTGAGTATCACCATTTCAAAATGGATTCTCTTTATACAGTTATAAGTCTCATGGAACAAGACTGTTTCATGGCTTCTATCGACATTAAGGATGCATATTATTCGTTTGCTATTAATTAATCCCACAAATCGAAAATATTTATGTTTCATGCAGATTGGCCAACAATTTTGTTATACATGCCTTCCTAATGGCCTCTTTTCGGCCTCAAGGCAGTTAACAAAAAATTTAAATGTGCCATTATCATATTTGCATGAGGAAGGCCACATTTCTCTTGGCCACTTGGATGATTTTTATTTACAAGGGAAGACATACTATCAGTGTGTGCTAAATATAGTGGATACTGTTCAAATGTTTGCCAAATTGGGCTTGATCTCTCACCCAGAAATGTAATTTCATCCCTTCTCAAACTTTAACGATAAATTCCAAAATGATGACTATAACATTGACTGATGAAATTTGAAACGATTATGTCAAGATCTTCTAAACAGAAAATCGTGCACAATACGAGAGATTTTTTGCTCTTTTTTTGCTTTTTTTTGATTTTTTTGATGCAGTAATGACTATATCACAAGCAGCTAAGTGAAAATTGACTTGGTGGGTGCACAACATTACATCTACATTTAACATAGTCTCCCATGGACGACCACCAGTAAGGCAGGTCACAACTGATGCTTCCCTACATAATTCGGGAGCTGAATGCAACAACATCTCTACAGTTAGGCCATGGACGACCAGGGAAGCTCAACACATTAATTACTTGGAAATGCTGGCTGTATTCATCGGATTACAAACGTTTGTTAAAGATGAGCAGAATATACATGTTCGGGTTAGGTTAGACAACACAACAGGAGTAAATATCCTGAACCACATGGGTTCAAGTTATTAAGTAGATTGCAATAATATTTGCAAAACCATTTGGGGTTGATGTATTGCCAGAGGTATCTGGATGAGTGCTGCTTACTTGCCGGGAAAGAGCAATACAATAGCAAATAGAACTAACGAGAACATAACAATTCTTTGAATGGATGTTAAAGAGGCAAATTCTACATGATTCATTACATCAGTGAGATTTCAACCTGACATTGATTTGCCGGTTTGCTTCTCGTATGAATAACCAATTTGATAGATACGCGGCTTACAGGCCTGACCCAAATGCAATAGCTCTCAATGCATTCACAATGCTCTGGACAAAATTAAAATTTTATGC